GTCCCTAGTCAACAGTGCCCACTGGACATGTGTCATGTCGGTTTTGTTATCTACACAGTGCACTAGTTAGTGGCCGCCGGAAGCCTCCGGAAGTTCCTCAGGCGGCAATCTGACCAAGGTCCACGATGCACGTCCAAGAAGCCCCCCTGGAGGCAGGAGGAGGAGCAGAGTGTCCCTCATGCTGTCCTACTCCTGGGCTTCCTTGCGGGTCAGCTTGTAGATCTCCGTGGGCCCATCCACGTGGGTGATGGTGGTGGTCAGCTGCAGCTCCTCCCCGCTGTGGACACCCAGGTCGCCTGAAATGGGGGGTAGTGGTGTTAGTAGTGTCGGAGGAGGAGAGAGTACGCTGGGCTCCTTTTGGGGTCCCCACCCTGGGTCTCTGGTCCCACTCCCCACCTTTGCCCTTGGCATTGGCATTGGCAGGATTTTCAATATCATTCTGGGCTCCCAGAAGAGTTGTGGATGACACACAAGTTAACACACTGCTGATGCCACATGCGGTAATCATGACCACTTCACGAGGGCTTACTCTGGGCCTGACACTGTTTGGAGGCTTTCCCCGCATTCTTATTTTGTCCCCAGCAGAGCCCTCTAGGGCACAGAGCTGCACAGAGGGAGAAACTGGGAGGTAGAAAGGTGGTGCCTGCAGCCCCCCGACAAAGCGAATGATGAGGCAGAAGCGCCTCCGGGTCCCTGCAGTGTGCCACTCACCTCCTGACCACTGGGAAGGGGGCACATTCACACTTGTTGGGGAGGAATTAGGCTGCAGCTGCACCCTGCCAGCAAGGCCAGAGGGCAGCTTGCCTGTGCCCACCAAGGCCCTGGGTCGGCTCCCCTCTTCTGAACAACCAGGGCTTTTCCTCCTCGGGAAAGGAACCCCCAAATGTGTCCAGAACTCTCTTCTGCACTCGGCACACACTGTCTTGAACTTGTCCTCCACAGACAGAGAGGTGCTGCGCTGGAAGGGCAGTGGTGGCTGTCCTCTGTTGGCCGGAAAAATTGCACGTCTCTGTAGCTTAAGCCCTTTTGTTTGCTACTCACCCTCAGACAAGTGTGCAAATGTAAATTTGCAAAAGGAAAATGGCAAACTGTTGGAATCACTCACCAGTGTGTGCGGGTGCCCGTGTGCATGAATATCTTCATACAGGAATGCTAATTAATTTAAGTGTCTGTCTCTAATTTTTATCTTGTGCACATAATAGTATTTGTTGGGACTGATATTTTTCCCTAGTTCACAATGTAGAATAGGTAGATGAGCAGATCAATGGATGGATGGATGGACAGATGGATGGACAGATGGATGGATGTGTAGGCAGGCAGGCAGGCAGAAAGCTGGGATTCCCACATCATTACCCAGAGGCAGCCCAGTCCCTACACTCAAGGCTTCTACCTGGCATCAATGGGTCCAATATTCTTAGAGCCCAGCGGTCGCATACACAGATCTGCAGGCTGCTTGGCATCGAGTTTCAGGGCAGACTCAGGGCAGAGCTGCAAGCTCTGTCCTATTAGCAGCCACCAGCCTGCAGCACTCCAACTTGGGCAGAGAAGGCACCAAAGGGGCACCACCAGCCTCACCTGCACCGGCTCAGGTGCTGAGCCACCACAGCGCAGAACCTCGCCTCTCTGTGGCAGGGTTATGGTGGCTGGCTAGGGTCCACCCCAACCAGGCTAGCACAGCAAGGCTGACCCCAGCTGGCCACACTTGTGGTGGCTTCCTCTAGTCTCCAGTCAGTTAGGAGAGTGAAGCACCAGCCTCCTCCTCAGGTGGAGGAGAGCCAGTCCTGGGTTTGCATGTCACACGCAGCCCTCAGCCCTTCCGAGTGCTCCTGAGCTACATGTCTGCGTGGGAGTCCTCAGAATTCCAAAGGTCCTGACGTCAGGCAAAGTGTTTACCCAAGCAGTCCCTCGGGAGCCTTCTTGGAGGCCAGCCTTGGGATGGCTTTTACCCTAAAGTGTAACTCCAATCAGTAGAACAGTGGAGAAACAACCAGCACTACTTTTTTAAAAAATAAAAATAAAAAGACATCTACGTTAGATTGCTTAGCACTGCACGAACGAGAAGGCACTGATCCTTGGATCTGTCATCAGACACAGCACTGTTAGCCCCATCTGTGGGAGGAGAAACTGAGGCACAGAGAGGCCAGAAACTTGCTGAGGCCAGACTTGATCATCAGCGATGTGAGATTCACACCAGGGCCTGGGACATCCAGGTTCTGAGTGCTTGACCTTCAGATGTGGGGGAAGGATGGTGGGGGAAGGGTGGTGGGGGAAGGAGTGGCCCTGTAACTCGCTGGAGGAACTCTGAGCCCGTTAATCCCTGGGAGTCTGTACTCTGTGATTCGTGTGTATTTGGTTGGATTTCTTCCTAAGGTGGGGAGACGCTGAGGCCTACTTCATCTCTTTAAAGTGCTGCTAAGGACTCGGATCAGCGGAGGTCCTAGGCAGCAGAACCCAGGAGTCCCGTGCAGGGGCATTCACTGTGTCCTGAAGGGTAACCTCTCCCTGTGGATAGACTGGGACAGGGCTTGGGATCCTTCTAGGGCAGAGAAGCTTTGGTGGAACCAGGTGTGTGAATCTGGGGCCCAGTCATGTCTTGGTCCCTGGCACCATGGGGACAGTTGATATGTGGCACTTGGCATCAGAATTCGCCCTATTTTTGATCACGCCTTGTGAAGACTCAGGGAGGCGGACTCCAGAGCTGCTGCACAAAGCGGCAGAGGCAGTGGGATACGTGTGTTCAAGGCAAGGGATGTTCTGAGGGAGGTTGATGGCACTGCGTCTCCGCTGTAATGAAGAGTTTTTAACTTTAATCTTTCACTGTGGTTTTGATCATGTTGCCTGTGTATGCAAAGTGCTGGGGCCCATGCCCAGCGCTCAGCAGCTCTAACACAGTGGTGCCATCACAGCGTCCTCCCGAGTGCCAGGCTCACCTGCCATGGCCTTCTCTGGAGACAGGAGCCCCACCCCTCACGTCAAGGGCAGGGCCAACAGGGTGACGGGAAACGAAATCAAGGCTCCTGTCTGCAAGCCTGGAATCCCTGAGCTGGCCCAACAGGGATCACTGTTGGAGAAGCCACCTGCCTCAGCCCCTCTTGCACAAAGTAACACTTCAAAGGAGGGCAGCAGGGAGGAAGCTGACTGCCATCTGTGTGACCAACAGCTGGCCTGGGGGAGGGAGACCCAGCTGTTGCTCTGACAAGCGCCTCATGGTGGCCATGGACCTGTGAGCAATGGCTCTGAGAGCACAGGTGATGAGATGTCCTGGCTCCTGGGTGCTCTCTTGGGACACGGCCATTAGAGAGTGAAGACAGGTGGTGACCAGGACCCGCCCTCCACCCAGACCTGGCATCCGTGCCCTCCTCTACGAAGGCTGATCTGCAGCTCCCACTCACCAATCTGTGTTCCTACAGTATCTAGGCGCTGTCCAGCCAGCTGTGGGGTATGTACTTGTGACCTCAGCACTCTGGGAGGCTAAGGCAGGAGAATTGCAAGTCCTAGCCCAGCCTGGGTAATTTAGGGACTTACAGAGTCTGTTTTAAAGCAAAAGTAATTTTTAAGAAAGGGGTTGGGATGTAGCTCAGTGTTAATCACATGCTCCTCACCCCCAGCAGCCCTTGGACAGTAAAAGAGCTCAGGAATGGACAAACACCTACCACGTCCACCCAGGGCAAAGCAGAATCATGACCTCTTCCCCAAGCCCTGTTCCATAGACAGTGGCCTTAAAAGGCCTGCTTTCTGGGAATAAGGCTCTGGGACAAATGATTTAATGATGTGGGGAGACACTATCACCTCAACCTCTTTCAATGACCTACAGTACAAGTTAACGTTCTCCAGCACACAGGTGACCCACAGTGGGAGCCTCATTCCTGCTCATCAGTGCAACTCAGCCTTGATCACTAAACCCCACCCCTGTCTCATGGAAACCTCAGTGTTGGCTTCCACCTAGGGCGACCAGGAGTGGGGTTCGTGGAGGAGCATGCCTGGCCCGCAAGGTCAGGAGGGAGTGCGGCCTCAGCTTTAATGCAGGCAGAGAAGTCACCCATTCACTCACCGCACTGCAGAGCACTTCCTGAAAGTGAGGCAGCCCCCGGTGCTGCTCGCCCTCACTTGGGAAACGCAGCTTGTGTTTGGGGGTGAGGCGGGTAGGCACAGGGACAGAAACGACGGGGGCTGCACTTAGGCCAGGACACTCAGGGCCCTCTGCCATGGCTAATGCAGGAAGCCCCAGCGAGCTCTTCCCATCTTGGATCGTCAACGCCTCCTCTCTAAAATGACAGATGGGCTAAGTTCTCTGAGGTCTCTGAAGCCCCGGCAGTTCAGGGTTCTGTGAGCTCGCAGCACACACCAGCACTAAGCCACAGGAAGGTTATGGAGACAGAAAGGGGGCTGCGGGGTGGCCCAGCGGGTGAGCCCTTGCTCAGCAGCTGTGGCCCCCAGCACACAAACCATCAAACAAGCAAGCGTAAGAACAAGGAAGACCTGTGCAGGAAAAGGAACAGAAACTAAACCCACTCTAGCTTTCGCTCTCAGGGCCCAGGCTGCCTCCACCCCTGACATCGCAGGATCTCCTCAAACTGGAAGATTAAAGATGCCATATACTTTTTAATGGTTGATTTGTTCAGAAAATTCAAGAGGGTATACTTGATTCTGTTTGTACTAAAACTAGGACATTTCTAAAAATAGCACGGAACGTCCTAAATGTATTTTAGAGATTGAACACAGGAAGCCTTCAAGAGCTACCTGGTTTGTGCTCGTTGTTGGTCTCATGGTGCCTGTGTCCCATGGCGCTCACTTGCGGTCTCCCAGCTAAGGGGACACTTAGAGGGAAGTCTGATGGGCGAGCCCAGAGCTCTCACCACTGAAGCCTGGCAGAGACAGGAACCCACTTCCTGAGCTGGGCTGAGCGAAAGAGGCCGACACTCACCATTGGACTGGTCCTCCCCGTAGTTCTTGTGGGAAGGCGCGTACAAGAACATCAGAGTGAACACATACAGGTTCCACATCCCGTAGATGCCGGTGAAAAAGGCGCTGTTCACTTGGACCGTGACGCCACCCCATTTCCAGTGGCCTTCAGTTACCTACAGGAAAAGAACAGCGATATTCAGCGGGAAGCGAGCAGGGACACGATACCAATATAGAAGCCAGCGCTCAAAGCCAGGTTCTCATCCTGGCCGCGCATTAGCCTCACAGGTAGTGTCTCTTCCTAAAGGCCCGGGGCCTTGTTATCCCTCAACTGTCACTCTCGGCCACAGTTACAATTCGTCCTCTGCTGTCCTCTCAGACAGATGTGGACTCCCTTCACTTGGAAAGCAGCTCTGTGTGGCTGGCTGTCCCGCCTTCAGAGTCTGCGCCCCGACTATGTCGGATCCCCTCTGTTTACTAAGCAAAACGGAGGACTCTGAACTTCAGCTTCCTAAGTACAAAATAAAAACAGGATTATGGAGAATTAATTAAAAATATTTCCAGAGGGGGCTGGTGAGATGGCTCAGTGGTCTAAAGCACCTACTTAGAACAAGCTTAGCAAAGCACAGGGACCGCAGTTCAATCCCCAGCACCACATGCCAG